AACACTAATTAAATTGATGCCGCCGAAGCCGCTGACAAAAATCATAGCCACAATTAACCGTTCAGGAAAATACCAACTTGTCAAGGGCAATCAGTGTGGCCGAGCCATGGCACGATTGTATAGCCTTAGACTCGTATCTTATTCTTCTTCTTCTTCTTCTTCTTGCTGTTGCTGTTGCTGTTGCTGCTTGTGGCTCATTGATCATGTTGCCGGCGCGTCCCTGACGATGATGAGCATAGGAAACACAAAACGACATGTCAACTATAACCACCCATCGATCGGACGACGTTTGCAACGTCTCTGGCTAACAACAACAACAAAAACAACTAGCAACGACAAGTAACAACATTTATCAACGCTTGGCGATCTACAGCAAAGGCAAAAGGCACGATGCTTAGCTTTAACATAGCAGTGCTAAGATAGTGAAAGAGAGAGAAGAACAGAGAGAGCGGGGATGCAATAGATAGAGAAATAAAGAGAGAAAGGAATGCATAATACTAGAGAGTCTGCTAGAGATGAGCAAGGGCATCTGCTATGCTCAAGTGGCTGTCAACACATATCAAATTTACCATGAGCTTAGAGAGCAAATACATTAGAATTTCAAATATATAAAAAAAAAAAATAAAATATTAAGTTTGAATCTATTTTATTAATATTTAAAATGCCATGATAATTATATATTTTAAATCTACTTTGGCTTAGTTTTAGATTTGTCAACAGATTGTGATTTGAAAGTCAGACAAGTAAAGCAAAGGAATTCTGTTAGAAATATAGATTCTAACTGTCTACGGTGTAAATGCCCATCGATAACAAAGATAATAATCTATTATATTTTCTAAAACAGCTCTTATGCAGTTCCTATTTTATTATTAAATCTATAATAATTGTACTAGGCTATTGGATCTCTCATGCAGAAATTCTAGGGTTAGTGCCACACAATTAACGTATTATGTGGTATTACTCTTAAAAAAAAAAAAAAAAAAAAAAAAAAAAAACAACACTTTTTTACTTAACAGCGTCTATTTACTTATACGTATACAATGAGAATACTTAATAATAACAGCAAAGATAATGATCTAATAAGCTCTTCCAAGTACTTGCTTCTCATTCAGTTAGCACGCGTTCATCTCTATTGCCATTAAGCTGGCAACAAGTTGATGGGGCAGGACTGTGACGAGACGGCGACTGACTCAACGAGTTGCACTTAGCGACAACTAACGCCACGCTTGTTGTTGGGTCATGTTACTCGAGGCGCAGAGCTTGATCGAGTCATGGGCCTAGAACTGAATGCGGTCTGTGGATGTGGATGGGTTTTACAGTTAAGGTCGCTCACACTGCCTGGCTGGCTGGCTGGCAAGCTGGCAAGCTGGCTGACTAGCTGACTGACACTGGCTAAGATCGCTGACAGGTTGGCAGAGACTGTTAGCCGTATGAGGACGTTGCGGTAGGGGCATTGGGTGTCGCATGCTGGCCACGATCGCTCACATTTTGCATATGGCAAAGCCATAAAGTTTACATGCTCGACGCTCTGATGAGCCGCGCAATATCGGCACAGTTGTCCACGACTGTCGAGCGTAGATCCACGGAGCGTCGATCCGTGGAGCGTCAAGCGTCGTGGCTGCTCTGTCAGCTGCAATTTCTCCTCAGGCATTTGATTTATGCGCTGCAATCGTTGACGATCATCATCTCGCTCACTTGTCGAGCGAGACGACGACCCAGATCATATCTGTTGCTCCACATCCGCGCAGCGATTAAGCAATATGTTTTTGGCCTTAACATGGCCGCATTTGGCATTTAGCAGCAGCAGCAGCACCAGCAGCAGCGGCAGCACCAACAGCAGCAGCAGCAGCCCCCACATGAGACACCCGCTTTACTGGCTTGTCTTATCTATGTGATCTGCATCGGTGGGGGTTACGAAATCTGAATCCAAATCGAAATCGAATGCGAACGCGAATGCGAATGCGAATCGCGGCGCTGACTTGCGCGAGAGTTACCAAGATTAATGTTGATGCTTTTTCAATTACAACTCTGGCAGCATACAAATTTGGAGTAAAACGTAATCGTCGTAATCTCAGACGTCCTAAACGACGACAACCACGACTCCCAGCTCCAGCTCCAGCTCCAGCMCGGCCTAGCCCGTCCCGGCCTGGCTTGGCCCGCTCTGAGTGACTGCCTCAGTGGCTGCTGTGGCTCTGACTCGGATTCGTATTGCATTTCCTAATGTTTGTTTTGCATGAGCTTTGTTTTGTTGCTGTGGCTGTTGTTGTTGTTGTTGTTGTTGTTGTTGCTGCTGTTGTTGTTGCAGTTGTGTGACATGCGCCGCCGCTCACTGATTTGCCCCGACTTTGTCTTCCGATCCCGTGATGCCCAAAATGCCTCCTGCGAGCCTCCTCCTCCTGCTCCACCTTCTCCTCCTAGCCATGGCAGGCAATTACAAATGCTGCGACTTGTATCATGGCCAGCCATCGATTTGTATGGCAGCGACTCGTATGTTGCTTGCAAATTCGATCGCATCTTGTACCCGATTGACTCGACTCGGGTTGCTTTGTCAATTGCAATTTGTTATCTGCTCCGCTTCGAGCTGAGACTCCAATCCGCATGGATCTGAGCCACAAAGTTGCTGCCGCTTCAGGTGGCTTTACTTGCTGTTGTTGTTGTTGTTATTGTTAGTCATTCAATCAAAAGGATTTGTATGTGTGTGTGTGTGCTGCGATGGCTCAGCAATGATTAGCTACGAGTTCTGCGGCGGCAGGACAATGGCAAACCTGCAGCCTGGCAAAAAGGATGCCGCAACAATAAGACAACACAAAGGCGGCTGAGATCATACGGTCAGAAGCCAAAAGAATTATGCAGTCGCTTCTAGGTCACTAGGTGACACGGCAACAACACGGCAGACAACTGGGCGACAGGTATAATACACTTGAAAAAATTGCACCGCATTTCACAAGTCAAATTAGGTTAAGTGGGAATGATTAAAGGGAATTGTAAAGGTAACACTCTAATTATTATTTGATTTTGTATTTTTCAGTTCAAATGAAATGCATAATAAAAATCTGTATTTAATTAAGAAAGTTTTTTTAATGAAAAAAAAAAAAAAAAAATGTAAAGAAATCCGTTTGCGATGACTTCTATAGAATCTGCAACCAAAACAATTTCATCAGAATCAATTATTGAAAATCTTCTAAGCCAAACACACAAATGAAAAATATTTGATAAATATATTTAAACTTCTGATGTCTTAAAGAAATTCAGAAACCTACAGACAACTCCACTAAATACGATATTTCTATTCCATTTTGAAATATTAAATATTTAATAATTTTATATAGAGAATTATTATTTCTTTTTATAGAATATTTTCAACAGAAATATTATTTTTGAATATAGCTCATCTTCTACAAGTAAAACATGAACCATTTATTAGATTTCCCTTTTTTTCCAGTGCATCCTCTATGGCTGATTTCTTAGCATTCCTTGTGTGCCAAAAAGGTATGCAAGGTGTTTTTCTCACAGCCTTGCCGTTCATGTCCTGCAGTTTTCTACTATGTTTTTGTCCCTTTTTTGCAGTTGCACAAGCGACGCGCTCTGATTACCGCGAAAAGAAGAAAAGAGTGTACTGAAAATGATTGTCCTTTGTTGTGGCTAAAGTGTCGTTCTCGGAATGTGTTCTTATTGAGTATGATTTATGGCCGAAAGGTGTTGCCAATGCTGCAAAGTATCGCTAATATGAGACCCCGAGAGAAATCTACTTCAGTTTAGTTTTCTATAGTCTTGGCTTGTAGTTAGTATCGCAGGGAGTACGTGACTGTAACCTGCATGTGATAGGGCACCATTTGCTTATCATCACGGACAGGTAATTACAATAAACGACTTGGTACCATTCGCATTATCGGGCACTCGGAGCAGAAGGTACACAGCAAATGCCGTTGCAATGTTGAAATGGGCCCAGATAAGAACCAGAGCGCCTATTGTTGCCATTGATATGGCTTAAATGCACTACAAACTACCGTCTAGTGTCTGAGTGTTAAGTATTGAGTGTTTACTGTAGATTCCAGATTCTACCGTCTGTCATGTCAGTCAGCTAGTTCAAACAGTTTTCGATAAGCAGCCGGTGTCGCTGCTACGACTACGTCTATCACCTGCGACAGGACGCATGCGCCGAGATCCTTTGAGCAAACAATCGAGCCAAAAGGATTGCTGCCAATGACAAAACAAAATATAGAAAATGAAATGAAAGGACGTAGAGCAGGAAACGTGCTTCGATAATGTCCTCTGGCAGCTAATTAAATATTTGCGTTTGCCAAAGGTGCAAAATTTTCTTTGATACGAATTGATGAAATATTAGGGGCGGGTTAAGAGGAAGTCCTTTGAAAATGAAAGTGGAACCCTCCAATCATTGTTTACCTATGGAAAGGTGTATTTTGAGCATGCTGAACTCGATATTGTTATAGTGTATAATGTTGGGGATTTTGAAATCACATATATCGAACAGAGTCCAATGATTTTGAAATATGAGCGCTGCAGCGGAAGGAAGAGGGTTTTCCTAATAAAATATTGAAAACAGTTGGGAAATTTCTTTTGTCATGTTTGAATTTTTATTTTTATAAAAATATTTGTTGGTGGCTTAACAACTAACAAAAGATCCTAACATTAACATTGACTAAACGTAATAAAAATGTTTGATAAATAATATAAGATCAATAATAAAAACTATGAGCTAAATGCTTAAATTTGGTCATATGCTGTCTGATAATTGTGGCAAATTTACAAGAACTTATGAGCTATAAATGAAATAAATACGATATGCTAAGATCTAGAGTCTATGGGGTATAGCACCAAAACCGATAGGATCTTAATATACTATGAGCTGCGCCTAGATTATTGTCTACGAGTTTGGTTTGGTTAGGTATAATCCTCGCCAGCGGAATGTGTGTGTGAGTGTGTGTGTTGAGTGTGTGTTGATTCTGCGTCTGATGGCTTCCTGCTCGCTGCTACACCAGTCTAGACAATTGTAATGGTGCAATTGGAGCTGGTGTGCTTGTTGAGCAGCGACATGCGCGAGAAGGACTTGTGGCACACCTGGCAGGCGTACTTCTTGACGTCGACGTGCGTCTGCTGGTGGGCACGCAGATTGGAGCGATCGGCAAAGGAGCGCGGGCAGTCGGGGCACTGGAAGGGCTTCTCGCCCGTGTGGGTGCGAATGTGGCCCTGCAGCAGCCACGGACGGGAGAAGGCCTTGCCGCAGATGGGGCACTTGCAGGGCAGCGTGTGGGTGCGGATGTGCATCTTGAGTGCTCCAACGGTGGTGTAGAGCTTGCCGCACTCCTCGCACGAATGCTGCTTCTTCTCCTGGTTGCACTCGGCGGCCGGGCAGTGGAACTGGCGGTGCTTGGACAGTCCCATGGAGGTGGAGTACATCTTCTGGCAGTTATCGCATTTGTAGCGATAGTTTTTGGCAGCAGCCGAGGAATTCGTGTTGTTGTTGCTGCTGCTCGAGCCGGAGCCAATGCTGGCCGCATAGGAGTAGTTGGCGACGCTGCTGCTGCTGCTGTTGCTGCTCTGGCTGCCGGCACTGCTGCGCGCCTCGTCGAAGAGGTGGAACAGTGCTGGGAGCGGAATGTCGTTGCGCACCGAGAGATCCTCCGGCTCGGAGCTGGCATCCGAGCCAGGGCTCGAGGGCGGCGTCATCTGCTGGTAGCTGTAGACCGAGTGCGGCGAGGCCAATGAACTGGCCGGCGATGGGAATGCGGCGGCATTCAGATGCGGCTGATAGCTATTCCACAGCGCTGAGATCGGATTGCAGCCGGCGGCCAGCACAAAGGCCGATTGATAGGGATTCGTTGTGTAGCCGGCGGTGGCGGCTGTCAGTCCGCGCATGTGTATATCAGTGGGCTGGTAATCCTGGCTGCTGGGCTCGGCGGGCGGCGAGAGCAGCGCCGAGCTGAGCGGAGAGCTGGCGCGGCGTGGTGTCACTGGCGTCTTCGACAGATTCAGCACGTATTCACGCTTCGCCGGCAGCTCATAATCCTCGAATTCAATGTCACAGGCCTTGCGCTTGAGCGACAGATCCTGTGGCTGTTCCTCCTGGTATTGTGGCTGCTGCACTGGGGCAAACTGTGAGGTCTTGGTCAATGCCAAGGCCTCCGTTTGCGGCAGCTCCTCCACAAAGACGATGGGGCGCTTCTTCAGCGGGCAGCTCTTGTAGTTGGCGGCCATGTCGTCGATTGTGTGAGTGTTTTTGTGTAAAGTTAATGTGTGAGTTGTGGATATGATCGTTTTTCGGTAACGCGTAGTTCCGTAGCACTAGAGAGAGAGATTGATGCGAGATCGAGCGAGTTGCTTACTCAACGAACGATGAGGTTGCTGTGACAGGTCGAGGGCCGAGCGAGCTCTTTTATATGCTCGGGGCTGCTGCTGCTGCTGTTGCTGCCTGCCATTTGGTGGTGGTTCTTCTTCAGTTCACACACTCATACACGCACACTCACTCATGTGCCGACGCAGGGCGCACGTGTACGTCGCTAGGTAGCAATAGCAGCAGCAGCAGCAACAACAACAACAACATCGACGACACACACACACACACAGCGACACTTTTCCCATACCCTTATTGCGTGTTTCCCATTTGCTGTTCTCTCACGGTGCTTGCTCTCTCGCTCGCACTACCTGACTACAATTACCTGACTAGCCTCTCGGGCAGAGAGTTCCTTCGGAGCTCAGAGCATCCAACGCAGGCGCACCCTCAGTTAATGTGTGAAGCTCCCTAGCAGGCGCTACGATCAGCACTCGATAACTTATGACAGCTTCTCGCTTACAGTGCTCTCCCTCTCTCTCGGCAGCCTCGTCGACTTTTCTCGAGCTTCTCCTGTTACCCCGCACACATGTACATACGTGCTGTAATAACTCGTCAAACCCCGAACACAGTCCCAGTCCCAGTCGCAGTCCCAGTCCCAGTCCCAGCACCAGCACCATGTCAATCTCTCTAGCAGGTATCGTTAGCATCCACGGAATTTGAGTTTCGCTTTCAACCGCCTCGTTTCGCCAGCTCTGTGCATTGAGTTTCTATATTTAGGCGTTGGCATTTTTCACGAGTCAAATTGGATTCCCGAGCTACGCATTGGGGTAGTTTTTGAGGCACATCTGCCACTGTGCCGGTGCCTCAATCGTGGGGCGGCAAATTGAACCTGAGCTGTGCCGGCATTACAATTGACATTGCACCTATGTATGGGTATATAAATAGATGATGCGACGCCTCATCGAGCATGTTAGCTCTTGGGTGCACTTTATGCTAACTTATTATCGCTCAAGTTCCAGGGATTATTTGACTAGTTCGGAAAAGTCTCCGTCTTTGTATTTGTATGTATGTATATTCCACCTTTGACTTGAGCTTACCTCATTATACGACATAAACAACGAACCCACATCCCCTCGCATCACGCTTTTCACATGTGATCAAACACTGGAGAGAGGCCCGGCTCACACATCCTAGAGACTTCCTGGTTGGGAAAACAGTTCAGCCCGCATAGCCAAGTTCCCAAATATAACATTGTAAACTGATTTCCCAGCCATCAAAAAAACCAAATCACACGCATTTTCCCCATCCCCCGCCGTTTCCCAGGGCAATGTGTGAAGAGCGATGAAAAAACCGAAGCAAATGTAGCAAACCCAAAAGTTTTGATAAACCCAACCGATGACAAAAAGTACAAATTTCCGAGTGCTAAAATTCCAATTCCCAAATACGATCGTATACCCAGGCTGAGACTCAGACTCAGACCGAGGCTGAGGCTGAGGCTGAGACTGACCAATCGCCGCATTCGACTCTCGCCGGGACCATGGGTGTGATGGAAGATGCGGCAAGTAAGGAAAACGTATTTCCATTTTGTATTTTCCCTCTGATGGATTTTCCTCTGTGGACAGGCAATCACATACGCGAACAAACGTCCGGATATGGATCAGCTATGGATTTAAAGTAATTTCCCAGGTTATCCAATTACGCAGTCAGCGAAACTCAAGCAAAACAAGCCACGATTGGCCAGCGTCCGAGCGACGGTGCATCGCAACTTCGGAATTCCTTGCTCGCCCAGCGAAGCTGCCTCCCGATCCTACCTGACGGGCGTTCCCGACCATTTCGGTTATTACGTGTGTTATTCCGCACAATTACCAACCATGGCATCCACAGGCAACTACCTAATGATCACTATTCTAATATTCGACGCGGAATTGCCAGCAGGACACCGCGAAATAACCCGCGCTCGAACCCGATTCATTCATCAGGCGGAAAAACCCAAGAGTCTTGTTCGCCTTTCCAAAACCCTAGCACTTGTCGTCCTGCAATTGTCAAGTACCTGCTGGAATTTGGGCCGGGACTAGTCCGCTCATTAGCATTAGCCTGGGATCAGTGTATCGCGATGTTTCCGCCAACCGCACTTCATTCATCCGGCAGCGCGGCTGGAAAAACCCCTTTTCCCTACGACGATCTTTGCCTGATGCCGTTAGAATATATGCAGGTGCGCCAACGGTTTTCCAGATCCTGTTGTATTTTCTGCTTCTCTTTTGCTTTTTTTTTTTTTTGCAGACAATGGGCCCGTCCCATTTTGCACCTTGTCTTCCCTGCATTTGTTGCAGTGCACAATAGGGTATTGCTGGGTATTGTTGAGAGAGCAGAGTAGAGATCGACAGATGAACAGGATAAATGGAGCGAAAATGGAGCAGAAGATGCACAGAGTAAAATGCCTTAAGAGAGGAGTATAGGTTTGTTCAATAACTGCGAATGCAGAGGATAATATGATATGATATATCCAATGTAAATCATTTGTTGAATATATGTATGTATTAAATTCGATTAATTCAAACTACAAACTTATTTAATTTAATTTCATTTAATATAATATATATTAAGTCCAATTAATCTAGATTTAAGACTAGGAGCTTCCGTAGTTTATGATGTAGTTTGGCACTCTCTCACCATTTTCTCCCATTTCGCTCTCATTCTCAGCTTCTCTCTCAGTTAGTGCAGCTTGGCCCGGTGCATGGCACACCTTTTGCCAAAAATATCAGAAGAGCAAAAGAAAATAGAAAGAAGGGAACTGGAGAAAACAAAAACCACCAAAGAATACAAACTATGGCCCAAGATATACGATGTGTGATGTCGTTGACAATGAATGGTTGATTACTACCCCCAGGCCAGATCCTCAAAGCAACTGCAGACCTGATGCCAGTTGTTGTTGTTGTAGTTGCTGTATTTTGTTTTTTTGCACAGACAAAAGAACTTCCAATCCATAAATCGAAATCGAAGCCAACAACAACTGAGCGTTGAGCATGAAAGAAATAGAGAAGGAAGAAAATCACTGCCACGGGCCTAGGACCGGGTGCATTGCACAATCAATAGGCCTTAGGACCTCATGACACAATAAAGGACAGATCGACACACAGCCGGACAGACAGAGAGACGGCCAAAGATCGACCGACTGCGCAGACACATTGGAGTAAATGTTTTGAAAAGCCAGCGAAAGGAATTGCTTCCAGGAATCTCAGCTATCGCTGCCGGCGGCGTATCAATGTCCTTAGCCAGAAGAAATCAAAAAGTTGGATCACCTGGCCGCATCGAGTTGTCTGTGCGTCCGTCTATCCGCCTGACTGTTTGTCTGCGATTATGTGCGGGTGCCGCTTAATGTTTTGGCTGCTACCTGTGATCCATTGTTCTCGCCAAATTGTGAATTGTGAATGACCCCGCAAAGGACGCCAACCCCCAAAGAAGCTTCTCTCCCCTGTGCGCTGTGCGACCTGTCACCTGCCAGCTGCCTTGACTCCCGCTGCCGCGACGCATTCGCGCAGGTTACGTGCCTATTCACGCTTCGTTATCCTGTCAATGCGTCCGCATTATGCGCATTGTACGTCAACGCCGTCCTTAAATCGAGCTCCTCGTCTCCTGATTCCACATCTTCTTCTTCTCATCGTCTCTGTCTTTTTTAGTAAGCTGCTTTTTGTATAGCATATCCTGCTCTGGCTCTGACTAAGCGTGCTGTTTAGCCTATTAAACGTGTCTTCCAAATGAAGTGTATAAATATTTTATAATTATGTTGCGGTGATTATGATTCAAGGAAAAAGAAAGAAAGGATCATTTTACAAAAAGCGACAAGGATACGTCTAAGATAAGTAATAATATGGATATTGAGGAAATTAATATTAAGATGAATATAACAAAAGATTAAAAAGAGAAAAAAGATTTTTTTATAGGTTACTCTAGTATAGGAAGTTTTTAATATATTGGCTAGCAAAGAGAAATGCTCGAGGATATAGAAATAATATATAGAATAATATTGGTGGCAGCTTCAAGCTCAGTGTGAAAGTAAATAAATAAAATAAAATAAAGAGATCAGCATACTCTTATATATATCTTAAGATGATAAACTATTTTTAACATTTAATTGGACAAGATCTTATATGAAACGATTTTTAATCACATGTTTTCTAAAACCAACACTAAAAGCAAAAAAAAAAAAAAGTACACAGAAAATTTCTAATAGTCAAATAAATTGTACTCTTAGCAAACCAAAGAATTAATTAAAAAAAAAAATATTTAAGAAAAAAATAATAATTTGTGGAAGCTTACAATCCTACGTAATGCTCAAAGTAGTTTCAGACATAAGCAGCTGCAGTCTTAACAGATTCTAATCAAAAACCATGAAACAATTTCTTCAGAGAATCGCCTACATTAGTGAATTTGACAAACCGCAGCTGATGCAATCGCAAAGTTACTATAAACAGAGTATTACGCCCCTATTAAGAGAATTTTTAACACCTTTCGTCGGCTGCAGCAGGACCTTATGCCAAATCAGAGCTAGATGGAAAACAGAAATACCCAAAACAAAAGTACGTTAAAGCAAAAAACTCATTACACCGGTCGGGACGGGCCCAACAATGCAAACGGGAAAGCAAGGAAGCGGCACAAGGATTGCATCTGCGTCGTTCGGGCAGGCAGCACAAATCAGTTTCTGTCAACCGGGCCGAGTCGGATGCTGAGGCCGATGTAGATGCTCGGCTAATGCTGTTGAGGGTGTTGGCTGGCGCGTTGGTGGCTTGGCATTGACAGCTGCTCCTTTGGCGCGTCTCGTCAGCGTCTGCGACAGCGTCTTGGCCAGGGATTTCTACAGTTTTTTTTTTTTTTTTTTGGCAAGACGTGCATCTGTTTGCACAGCCATAGGGCGAGGAAGAGAGAGAGAGAGCGAAAGAGGGAGAGCGCTGTGCTCGGACGTTGACTTGCATCTGCAGACGCACAATGGGCACACCGAGCATAATTCAAGCAAAAAGGAACAAAACATCAGGATCGTCATCAAAATAATCACAGCCAGAGCGAGCAGCGGAGAGGAGAGAAGCATGTGACAAACAATGGTGCACCACCACCACCACCACGATCAGCAGCATCATTATGATGACGATCATCATGATCAGCTTCGGCAGTCGCGCCAGCGCCTTGCGAGATTTTTGGCGGCATGCCGCCATCATCCACGAAGGCATCCTTCGCATGGTACCTG